TAGTATGATTAACTACAGAGCCAAGAATATAAAAATACAAATATGGGATAAAATATTAACTATCAAAGGTACNTAATATTTTCGTTTTCGTTTTCTTGATATATTTTAAATTGTATTATCAAAGGTATTCCTCCAATAATTATTTCTTTTTCTGTTATTTCTTCATTTATTATTAATTCCTTGGGTAATTCAGGGCATAGTTGTTCAGTAGTTATTATTTCAGTTTCTGTTACTAATTCTCTTGTGATATAATTTTCTTCTTGACCTGTATTTATTAATATTTGATATTTTCTTTGTTCCATGATTCCAGTTATATAGTAATGGTATGGATTTATTTTTTCTTTTGTGTTTGTGTTAGGTTGACTGCAAAATTGGGATAAAAAGAATTTGAAATGAGCTACCGGCAAAGCGAGGCAACTTGTCAGTCAAACAGAAAGTCCATCATATTCCAAAAACATTGAGAAGTCTACAACGTACGTTTTGGGATACAAACTATTGTTCGGCCCATCTTGATCCAACTCATTTCAGTTCAAGTAACTTTTATGACTTGTCCAAATTTAGCCCAACCCACTCATTTGACACCCCTACGTAGGATCCCGACCCCCACATATGAATAAGCTTAGGCTAATCATATGGTGTGCAAAGAAAACAACAGGTATATTTCATTTCAAGATCACAGCTCCTGCATAGACAATCAAGCTTCCACTTCGAGTGATAAGTTTAAAAGGAAAAGATGATACTATTTTACACTAACTTTCCGAGGAAATTTTCCAAACATCACCTAGACCTCTAATTTGATATTGTCTTTACATTCCCCAGCGCTCTGATGCTCTGATGGACTGAGCAAATGAAAATTTGTATGCCCAGCTCTTGCCTCCACCATAACCCAGATACGCCCTAAATGATCACTCTTTGAACTTGGAAAATCAGTAAATGAGAAAAAGAATCCACCTGAATGATGAATGGTAATTGCAAAAAACCTGCAGCCATTTTTAATTGTGACTAAAACCTCCGCCGCCTCTCACCTCTCACCTCAATCCCTCAATGGTGAAAAAGAAAAGAACAGCAGAAAATCCCTCAATGCCTTCTCCATACATTTCTAAAAGAAGATCCACTGTGTCGTTTTACCCAGTCAGTGTATATAGGTAAACCTGCTACTTTATCAATCTCATCTAACAAGATACCCTCTGTAAGATTGCCCTCTATGCTGTGCTTTGCCTGTCCATTAGATGTTTCATCGGTCAAAAATAGTTGTAAATGATGTTAAAACGAAGGATGATGTTGCTATAAGACAAACCTCCTCGTAGACACTAATATGATCTGGGTTTGATTTGTCTGTTTGGATCCGCACAAAGATCCAAGCATTTTCATGAGCGTTCCAGGAACACTCTATTATCCTACCCGAGTACAGAGACAAGTCAGACCCATCTGCAGGAGAAAGTACCAACCAGACCAAACTTGGTTAAGAAAACTTGAGGAGGAAGTCATATTATCAACACCTTATTTTTTGCAGAACAAAAGCAAAGGAAATTGCTAACATTTCCTAATAGAATTCAAGGGATAGATCTTCAAATTCTCAGTGCCAGCTGGCACAGACGAGCCTTGCAAACAAAGGGAAGGAAAGGAGAGATCTTTTTGCCACTGGAAACTCCTAGAAGGGAATATGAGCTCAAAGAAAGGAGAAAAAGAAGTGATCATCAAACCTTTAAACATGACTCTGCAACCTTCAATTAGTTTCTTGTTTCCGTGTTCTTGCAGATAAAGCAAATTGCTACCGTCGACTCCCACCTACCAATGCCAACTTGTTAATCAGATTATCCTGGTAGTAAAGTGATCAGAGCCACTACTATGTGATGTTATCTCCTACTGTTAATGTATAGACAAGAAAAAGCTCAGCATATAAACACTACAAATTAAACTGCAGTTTGAGAGCTAACGATGAAAGAAATTATAACCACCTCAAAGAGAAAATCAACAGTATTCTTTCCGGGATATTTCCATTTCAGGCGCCCATCATGTTCACAAGGCACATAAGTTGCATTCCAGGCCTGTATTATAAATTATCAGGAGCCAGATACAAGCAATTTGCTATCTAAAGCAGAAATTAGCTTCAGAATGTACCAACCATAACAAAGTGACTTGCTGGTCCCGGCAGCTATACGTTAAAAGACAAAACACGCATGCAGACACATCAAGAGTGCACAACAAGCATGTAAGTGAAGGTAATTACACTCAATTGGGGTGGACAAGTTCTCTCAAGTCAGATCTACGAGAGTGCATCACTTAGGTGCATTTGCAGATGAAATCATTTCATCCAATTTCTCTTCAAAATTTCATTTTCTTTCACTTTTTCAGTAAGATGAACTGAAAATTGTAAACATGCAATGATAGAGTATCGAAAGGTTCAGTAGTGCAAAGTCTGGTACTTTTAGGTGTCTTTTTGGTATTAGGAAGCAGATACCAATTCAGAACTTTGTTACCAGAAATGTTCTTTTTAGTCTAAATGGAAAAGCTAGGTCTGAATAAATTGTTTTAAAAATTTCAGAGTATATTTACTTTAGGATTAAGATACTGAATCTAAGTTCCAAGCTTATTTTGCTTTCCATCTTCAGGTTTATTCTTCTTTCTTTTCTTTTATCATATATTCTGTTTATTTTCTCTATTATAGTGTGAATGTTCGTGTTGCTTTTACTTCTGGTCCTTTTTCTTTAGCTCTGGATCCTATCATGTTCCTATTCTTTCTTTAGATGTTGATTCTCTTTCAATTTCTCCATTCATTATTTCATTAAAGACCACAACCGGGTCTCTCTTTTTCCTCTTCTTTTCTTTGCTACCTTAGTATTTTCATGTAATCCAAATTCAACTTCTTTGCATAAAAGTATTCCAGCTTCTGTCCTTGAAAATTTATTTTAAATAGCATCCCTATCTGAATTGACACACACACGTTTGTATATATATATAGAGAGAGAGAGAGAGAGAGAGCAGTTCTAATGAGCTATATCTCTGTTAATGAAATTGCTTGATCTACAATGTTATTAACTCTATTCAATTCATTAAATTTGATCAAATTAGCTGAAGGAACAAAATGCTGCAGGTAAGCAGATCTTCCCAGGCCAAATGACGAGCTTGATCTATCCAACTCCAGCCTAATGTCCCTAGTCCTCATTCCAGGATGAATGAAATTGCAGACTTCTCTAGCACAATTTTAAATGTATTGGTATCTAAATGAGATACAAAGAAGCTTGATAAACTAAGGACACTACTAGTAAAGGTTGGGCGAGAATTTCCTTAAGCTCTTGTAGGGTGTACTGAACATCATAATTTAAATTGTATCTAAATGATCTTGATATGAAAAATTGCTTGTTAATGTTAAAGCAGATACAAGTAGCTCCCATAGCACCTGAAAGATAAGACCATCAGTTGAATGTGGAAGACTTGGCGTTATATCTTTGATCAGCTTAGAAGCTGCAGACATCAAATAGAAATCCTTCCTCCTCACCTGGCATGTGCAAAACAATCATCAGGACAGAAGGGATCATAAACTAACATGTAGAGCCTTTATTGAGATCATACATACTTCAAATGGTTCCATGTCATATTGGTAGTATGGATTTACACATGTGAATAAGAATTCACGTTCGAAGTTTCGGGGTCGGATCACCTCGTCTTCAATTAGCATTAACCTATGGTGGAAAGGTAGCTGCAAAAGTATTTGGATGCACAAGTCATAAAATAAGTAACTTTTCATGAAACCCCAACCAAATTAAAAATTTACTATATGCCAAAATGCTGACTGTTGAAAGAAAACGATACAGTGCTTGCCACAGAAAGCAAATCTGTCACATAATGGAAGAGAAAGATGAAAATGCCCGTGAAAGAATAGTCCACATGTCTAATACCAAAAAACTACTCCAGTGAACCGGTATTCTCGAACACATGATTGACTGCAGAAGTCTGAGGATTAATCGTCCTTATGACATTCTCAAAACAGATAAATTACAACCTAAGAAGCAACTACTCCCTCGTTCCAATTTATGTGACTTTTCTTATTAGTATGTTCCAAAAAGAAAGACACATTTCTGTATTTGGAAACAATTTAACTTTAAACTTTCTATTTAACCCACTTACCCTTAATGAGAAACTTTTATAATCACACAAATGTTATGGAATGTTTATGACCACAAGTTTCAAATGTCTTATAGCCACACAAATATTATGGCATGTTTAAGACCACAAGTTTCAAAAGTTTTCTTTTTTTCTTAAACTCCATGATGAGTCAAACTACGTCACATATATTGAAGCAAAGGGAGTATATTCTACACTCTTTTGGAGAAGTTGATTGTCGCCACAGTACTATGCATATTTGCATCTCTCATACTTGTACGATAAGAGATATGCAGAACATAGATCGCAAAAGATTCGTCCAAGTCATTTTGGCCGATAAATATGTACACGAAGACATACCTCTGAAACAGAGGATTCATCAATTGCTATCATATCATAAATGAGGTAAATAGTCCTCTTCACTTGTGTCTCTGGCTCAGTCTCAGTAACCATTTCACCATCAAGTAACGTGTAGCGATGAGTAACGTCAGCTCTACCCTAACAGACAGGAAATTCGTGAATCTTCTACAGCAGAAAAAGACTCGAAATCGTAAAGCTGCAGAACCAGTATCCCTCACAATGAAGCACAAGAGGTCGTTAATGGATGAAGTACCTGATAGATATATTTGCAAGGAAACCGCAACTGAACCTTCCTGAAATAGAACTGTGTATCAATCAAATAACAACCCTCTCTATCTATTAGCATCATGTATCGTGGCCCCTCAGCACTCCAGGTGACATGGTAGAGTTGCTGGCTCAAAAGATGCAATTTGTCCCTACAATTTGACGCAAAGCATCAAAGTTCCAGAAAATGAAATCAAGATACATTGACACATATCTAAAAGTATGCTTCCAGTAACCTGGAAATCTAATAATATACTTCATACATAAAAGAAAATTAATTTCTTAACAAGAAATAAATGTTAATCATGTCCAAAGGACAAAACTATAATACTACAACACCCACCATTTGCCACTTAAAATCTTAAATAAATTATGAGAACAAAGAACCAAACATGAAAAATAATTCTTAATTAGCATCATAACCATGCTCAAAATATCCCTTTCCAAGTGCAATTAGTAAAATCCCTGATCTATGCTTCAATATTATATAAAGCATGCACATTTTTTGAGAAACTCGCATGCAACTGAAATTACTTGCCAATCCTAAGCGTACACAGAACAGCTAAAGATCACTCTTCCGGCCAATGGAAGACTCAGATCTTTGGCACCACGTGCATCTTTTTGGAATACAATGTTTGGTCATTCAAGCTGGTGTAAAATATTGCCTAAATATTGTAGAAGTCGGGTATAAGAGAGTTTTTTGCCAAATTAGTGCCTGTGTAAAGATATATCCAAAAAGAAGAATTTATAGTTCAACCTGTTGAGAGAGACCGAGTGTGATCCTGGACTTCGGGTATTACTCCTTGCCTAAGGACCAAAAGATTTAGTTATGTACCAAAAGAAATCAAAAGAAATAATAATAAATATTATATCAAGCACATAGCAAGCACCTAAAGCAAACAGAAAAATACTTGTACGTGCAAAGCAAGAACATGACTATCATTCAGGAACTATACGTAATTTGTTTCATCTGGGACTTGGGTAAGTATCTGGAAGAATATTCAAAATTAAAAACAATGCTACTTGCAAGCAAATCTTCCATGAGTATGAGTAAACAAGAGATCTCCAATTCATATAAGATACAGTAAAAGAAAGTAAAATACACATGTTGTGATGTGAAAAATGATAAAACTTTTGCATAACTGGAGCCTGTACATGCAAATTAAGCACTTGATAGCAGAAGTTCTTCATCCTCTGAACCTCTGCAAATGGGATAGGTTCGCCCCCAAAATCTGCATCTGACATAGCTCCTGCTTTTGTAAGATTCCCCTGCAATAACGAGGTTCTGGCATGTTGAATAAAGATGAGGAACAAAAAGGGAAGAAGACAATAGGTACATACATGAATCCTGATTGATGAGCAAATAGCGTGCTGTTCAATAGGCAGCTTATATATAGCAAACCAGATCAGACTTGAAGAGTACTATCAGCAGAACAATGAGAAAACCAATCCAAGTCATACAATCATCATTACAAGGTCAATGATATTATCCTTACTAGAGCAATTTTTCTTCAAGGAAGCAACAAAAGTTGCCACAAAACCAAAGACATGATTGTTTTCAAGAAGCATCAGCTTTACAACAATTTATCGCAACTTTTAGGTTTCCACCAAATCCAAAATTAAAGTTTTACTCCATAATCTGCCTAAGCAAATTAAGCAGTGGAGATACTTGTGCCATTATGACACAGCCTTTGTTGAGAATATAGTGTATATTAGTTAGAACCAATTAGGAAGATATTTACTTGTAAGTAAGTTGTCTTAATTTCTTTCCCAGTTTAGAATAGGTGTATTTACTATTTAAACACCCAATAGCTTGGGAGAATAAACAAGAACTACAATCTTCAGTTCTTCCTTTTGTGTTATATTTCTCACAGCCCTATCCTAAATGTTGGGAAGCATACAGTTCATGCTCCTTTTAGACTTGGCAGAAATAGAGTGAAGATAAATAGTGATGCTAGCTTGCTGTCAACAACTTCTTGTTGTCTTTAAAGAAAATCCGCAATATTCGAAGGAATCAGTTCTTTTGGTAATCAGCAAACTTATAGAACGGTAGTATAATATGAAAAGTGAATCAAATCTCTGCAAGTGAATGCAAAATAAATGTGGCACTTCCCTAGTTAACCTGCAGCACTAGAAAAGACGGCTCAAGTAAAAACTCAAACAACCAACTTCATTGGTTCGTGGAGTTTGATATGCCACACTGGCCAACAATGTGACTTTGTAACTTCACACAGTGATTAACTTCATACAGTGTGATTGTGATGGGGTACGCATCTAAGTACAATATTCACATCTATAATCAGAGTGCTCCTCATAGTAACTAATAATTGCTTCATGCATGATCTTTCACCAATTCAATAATAGTGCACTAATTGCTCCAGGGTTGAACCTGTGAGAATTTTCTGATATATCAAAGTGGCAATTGTTCGCCAAATAATCTCAAAAGAGCTACTTACAGAAGAAGAAGCAACAGCATCATTATCTTGATCAGCATCTCTCTTCCATTCTGGAGTTTGGGGACAAACGAGAGGTTCAGGCTTTGCTTGCAAATAAAAGTCATATAATGCTTCAACATACTTCTGTCTGTAAATTCCAGGAGGGCGTGCTCGGGAAAATATTGCTATTGCCTGAAATTCTAAATTATGTTGGAATACTAAGAAGAATAAAACAATTTAAAAAAAAAAGAATAGATCACTAACCTCACTAACACTAACTGACTGATTACGTACGAGAAAATGTACAATCATATATCCTGTTCGGTTGTGACCGTGAGTGCAGTGGACAACAGCATACTTGCTTGCTTGAGATTCTTGACATGTAAATTGCACGATCTGCAATCAAATATAAGTTCTGAAGATGAGACACTCAGCAAAGTGAAAAGTAATTATCACACTGCCATAGGCGCCCTTCCCAGATATGCAGAGTATGATGAAAAGATAGCTGACATGCACGCGACAGCAGAAGAAGAATTACCTCAGAAACAAATCTATCTACAGATTCAGCATCAGGTACAGAGTCCTGTCCCGGGCATCGAATCTGGATAAACCGAACATAGCATATCACTGGCCAGTTAGCCATGAGATCAAAGATATATAAAACTGCCCATATTTACCTTAACATGTCTAATATCATGACTGGTCCAATCTGATTCTGGATAGTAACGGTCAGTGTTTGTTAAATCAACCACCAGTCCTATCTGCAATTGATTGTTAGTAATGCAAGACATGGATGATGGCTATTGGGCTAAAGATAAGATGAAATATAATGCAAGACATGGATAATATGTTTTATATATATATATATATATTGAACAGACGCTAAAAATCCAACTAGTAGGAAGATTAGCTGTAAGCAAGATTAACAGACAATGACACAAATAAAATCTGATGTAGATGCATATCTTAGGTAAGACTTCTACAAGGTATCAACTCACACACAAACACTTAATATTCTAGCTTCAGTACTTCACTGCCAGAACTACTATTAAATAAGCAGGAGTCTCAGCAGCCACCATCTTTGAGCCACATCTCTCTCTAAATGACGACACTGAACACATATCTACTTGTCCTATATACTCAGAGACATTAGATACCAAATCTTTTGGTTGTATATGAGAGCACAGGTCCTCATACGTGCAGATAACTTTCTTTCAATTTCTTTCTTTTACTCTTTTCTTATACGACAACCAACTCCTTTTATGATACTAGTATAAAAACTCACAGGACTTAAAACTCACAAGACTTGACCTTAAAAATTACTGGATCCAGCCAAAGGTTTTACTTTTTGATAAAAAGGATGTTTAATGATGAAAAGATTTTTCTTGTTTTCTTCGTATAATTCTGTTTAATAAAGAATTTGGATAATTACTTAACTTCAATAGATAAGTCAAATGAGACTACAGCCAATCCGTATAGGAAATAGTAAGCTCCCTCTACTCCTGCCCCCAAAAAACAAAAAACAAATAAAGAGAAGGTATACACATTAAACATACAGACATACACTTACTTACTTCTCAAAGCAGATCAAAATAAAATCAGGTGGAATTTCTCAGGAATTAACCAAGACACAAAAGCCCACTAAATAAAGCATGACTAAAACAAGAAACAACAATGTTGGGAGAATGTACAAGATAGGAGTGACGGAAAAGAGAGCTACAATGCAATGGTTCTTCAGATGGCAATTAAGGAGAGAAATTGGTGCAGAAAGATATCAATTATATATCAATTAAATCAGCACGGATAGTATCAAGATAATAATCACCAAGTTAACCTTAATTTTAAGTGGCAAGGGTGGGGAGGAAGAGATTAAGCAAATAGTAAATGTGATAACCAGAAGAAAATATTGGTCACAGCACCACTTACTTCTCTTCCTAAACATCTTTGCTTGTCGATTAATTCTTTTGGGGTGTATCTTTCTCCAGGAGGGATGTTCTTGTCGAATGATTCACTTAAAGGCACTTTTGATGGGATAATAAAACCTATGTTATCACCATATGGAGGGCAATATAACCAACCTGTAAAAAGACACTCTTAACGTTAAAGAGAGGCTTATGTGAATGGAAAATATGTTTCTCTTTTAAAAGTAAAAACTTAGTAAATGCAACAATTCATGGAACAAAACAAGATGAGAGCTTATGAACATCAGGACATCCAGCTTATTACACAATAACAACATCTTGGACATGCATGCTTGTGGAAACAATCAGATGACTGAAGATGAAATTGAAGAACCTAGTACACCCCTTCAGGGCTTAAGACCAAAAATAAAATGACAATGGAAGGAAAAAGGGACAAAATTATCAGATAGGTGTTTAATTTTTACACGCTAACGGAACTATCTTTTGAATTATCATGTTAGTTACAACTATGAATACCGTAAAACCTAGAAAGAAGGTAAATAACCTACTACAACAACAACAACCCAGTAAAATCCCACGGATGAGGGGTGGTGAGGGGTTTGAGGAGGGTAGTGTATACGCAAATCCTACCCCTACCCCGATGGAGTAGAGCGGTTGTTTCCGATAGACTCTCAGCTCAAGAAAACAAAAAAGACGAAAAGAGACAATATATCAGTACCATCAACAGAAATCATAGAAATAATAACAGCATCATAAGAACCAGAAAATAGATGAAACGCAATAACAATAACTAGTAAATAAGGCCCGGTGCTATGAAAAACGGAAGAATAATGTGAACACAACATTAACCACTAGCCGTCTAAGACACCCTATCAGACTAGCCTCACACCAAGTACGAAATAGAAAAATGCTCAACTACCTCCTGACCTACAGTCCTAATGCTCGACCTCCACACCTTCCTATCAAGGGCCATGTCCTCGGAAATCTGAAGTCATGCCATGTCCTGCCTGATCACCTCTCCCCAATACTTCTTAGGTCGCCCTCTACCTCTTCTCGTACCGCCAAAACCAACCGCTCACACCTTCTTACCGGGGCATCAGGGCTTCTCCTCCGCACATACCCGAACCATCTTAGTCTCGCTTTCCGCATCTTGTCATCAATAGGATTCACGTCCACCTTCTCCCGAATATCTTCATTCCTAATCTAATCCATACTAGTGTGCCCGCACATCCACCTCAACATCCTCATTTCTGCTACTTTCATCTTCTATATATGTGAATTCTTAACCGGCCAACACTCTACCCCATACAACATGGCCGGTCTAACCAGCGCTCTATAAAACTTACCTTTGAGTATCGGTGGCACTTTCTTGTCACACAGGACTCCAGATACTAACCTTCATTTCATCCATCCCACCCTTATACGGTGTGTGACGTCATCGATCTCCCCGTCCTCCTGGATAACCGACCCAAGGTACTTGAAATTGCCTCTCTCTTGGGGATGACCTGTGATCCAAGTCTCACGTACATGCCCGCTTCCCTCGACTCGGGGATGAACTTGCGCTCCAGGTATTCTATCTTAGTCCTGCTCAGCTTGAAACACTTAGACTCAAGGGCCTGTCTCCAAACCTCCAAACTCTCGTTAACACCGTCTCGCGTCTCATCAATCAGAACTATGTCATCAGCGAATAAAATACACCATGGCACCTCCCCTTGAATATGTCGTGCATGGGCGAAGCTACAGTCTTGTAAGAGTGGTCAATTGACCACCCTTCGTCGGAAAATTACATTATATATATAGGTAAAATATTAAATTTTAGAGGTATATAACATATATTGAACACCCTTTGCTGGAAATTTTTTTTTACTTATTTCAAGTTTGAACACCCTTGGAGAAATTCCTGGTTTCGCCCATGTTGTCGTGTCAGTGCGTCCATCACCAGGGCAAATAAGAACGGGTTGAGCGTCGATCCTTGATGTAACCCCATAACAACCGGAAAATGCTCTGAGTCGTCTCCCACTGTCCTAACCCGAGTCTTAGCTCCCTCATACATTTCCTTGATCGCTATAATGTAAGCTATTGGCACAGCTTTTGCCTCCAGGCATCTTAAGAGAACCTCCTAGGGACCTTGTCATACGCTTTCTCCGGGTCAATAAACATCATGTGCAGATCCTTCTCCCTATCCCTGTATTGTTCCATCAACCTCCTAATAAGGTGGATAGTTTCCGTGGTTGAACGACCCGGCATGAACCCGAGTTAGTTGTCGGATATAGACACCGTCCTCCAGTCCTACTCACCCTCACTTCCACCACCCTCTCCCAAACTTTCATGGTATGACTTAGTACATTGATACCCCTATAATTGTTACAACTCTGGATATCACCTTTGTTCTTGTACAACGGTACCACCGTACTCCACCTCCACTCATCTGGCAACCTCTTCGTCCGGAAAATAACATTAAACATCCCAATCAGCCACTCCAAGCCTGCTCTACCCACGCACCTCCAAAATTCTACCGGAATTTCGTCAGGCCCGGTTGTTCTGCCCCTACTCATCTTACGCATAGCCCCCACAACCTCTTCAACCTTAATGCGTCCACAATACCTAAAGTCTCGATGACTCTCCGAGTGCCCCAAATCACCTAGCACAATATCCCGATCCATCTCTTCATTCAGAAGTCTATGAAAGTAAGTATGTCATCTCCGCTTAATCTGAACCTCCCCCATCAATACTCTACCGTCCTCGTCTTTGATCCACCTCACTTGATCCAGATCACGAGCCTTCCTCTCTCTCGCCTTAGCCAGCCGAAATAACTTCTTATCCCCGCCTTTGTCCCCCAGATCCTCGTACGGACGACGAAACGTTGCAGTCTTAGCCTCCATGACCGCCACCTTTGCCTCCTTCCTCGCTACCTTATACATCTCTCTGTTCGTTCTCCTCTCCTCCTCGCCTGTGCTCTCTACTAACTTCAGGTCCGCCGCCTTCTTCACTTCCACTTTGCCTTGGACCACTTCATTCCACCACTAGTGGCCTTTGTGTCCGCCAGAGAAACCCTTCGAGACCCTTAACACCTCTCTCGCCACCTCCCATACACAGTTGATCGTCGTCGTCCACATAGTAGCGCTCGCGTGCCCACTACTCATCCAGGCTCCCATAACCGATAACCTCCCCTCCAACTCCTGAGCTTTATTCTTAGTCAAGGCTCCCCACCTGATCCTCGATCGTCCTTGAACATACCTATTCTTCCTCTTTATCATGATACCGACGTCCATCACCAAGAGCCTATTCTGCGACGTGAGGGTCTCACCCGGGATAACCTTACCAATCCTTGCACAACCCTCTATCGCACCTCCTGAGGAAGAGATAATCAATTTGAGTCTTCGCCACCGTACTTTGAAAAGTAACCAAATGCTCATCCATCTTCGGAAAACTAGAGTTCACAATTACTAGCTCAAATGCCTTAGCGAAATCCAACAGCGAAGTTCCTCCTCCGTTCCTATCCCCAAAGTCGAAGCCGCCATGCACTTCGCCATAGCTACCAACAGTCGACCCAATATGACCATTGAAATCCCCTCCTATAAATAACCTCTCAGCAGGCGGAATACTACGCACAATCTCATCCAACCCCTCCCACAAGTGCCTTTTAACCTCCTCATCCAAGCTTGTTTGCGGAGCGTAAGCGCTAACGACATTTAGGGTGCACTCTCCAACCACTAACTTAATAGTCATTAATCTATCATTCACCCGCCTAACCTCAACCACAGACTCTCTAAGTTCCTTATCCATTAAAATACCCACTCCATTCTAAGGTAAATAACCTACTATAATCAGTTAAATAATACTATAAAAAAAATACATGTTACAACAATAATAACAACAACTAAGCCTTAGTCCCAAACAAATTGGGATCGGCTACATAAATTCTCCCTTCTCTATTTAAGCTCAACTCATATCATCACCATACCAAATAAAATAAAAGTGAAAATAAGATAGATAGGTAGATAGATATATATATATAAAAATATTAGTAATAATAACAATAATAATAGAAGTTCTTTAACACGACTAAAACCTATTGCCAACTAGTAGATATCACTTACATGAATCATATTCTTTCATTGTGTCATATCTTTAGCTAAGTCTATATTGATTCCAAGTATTTGTAGTCTTTCAAGACAATTTCCTTCCATGTGATTTTAGGTCTATCTGCCCTCATTTTAACACCTTCATTCATCACAGTTTCACACCTACTAATCGGTGCATTTGCAGGTTGATACGGGAAATGACCAAACATTCTCTAGCGAACTCTCATTTTATCTTCAATGCGTGCTACTTGCATCTTCTGGTGGATGTGGTCATTTTTAATCCTATCTAATCTTGTATAACCGCACATCCATCTTAGCATTTGTATCTCTGCACACTCGTCTTATGGAGATATTGGACTTCCGTGACCCAACATTCACTACCATATAACATTGTCGGTCTTAGAGTATTCTTTAGAACTTGTCTTTCACTTTGCTAGGCATCCTTCTATCACATAACACCCCGATAGCACTTTTCCAATTCAACCATCTGGTTTTAATACTATGAGTAACATCTCACTTTTTATTCATTTCTCTTGAAACAACGAGCCTAGATATCTAAATTGTTTGTATTTTTGCAATCCCTTTAGTCTCACCTCAATTCTTATCATGGCATTGTTATTAAAGGCTCATTTAAGACCGCTTAAAAACTGAAGCTCAGAAAAGCTAGAGGAGGGCGCTTCACCTCACTTAAGTTGCGCTTCACCTGTAGGCAAGGCACTAAGGTGTGGGCACTCATTACCCATGTTTTCTATCTTGAATCGAGGTACTAAACAACCAACATAATCGGCAAAAACGTGTATTACTTGTTAAGGAAAACATCATGAATGAATTTATTTATTCTTAAACTACATATGTATTTTTATCTTTTTTCTTCATTGCGCCTTTATATACTAAAGCCCACACTTAAAGTGAGCTTTGCGCTTAAAGCCCGATAGAGCTGGAGCATTTTCCGGAGCTTTTCGCCTTTGACAATATTGTATCATGCTGACGAAACTTGTTGTGCATGTATGCAGTCTTACTTCTACTTATAACCTTTATTCTCTAAAGTGTTTCTCCATAGTTCAGGCTTTTGGTTGACACCACTGCTAATTTCGTCAATTAGCACAATATCATCAGCAAAAAATATACATCATCGACCTCGTTTTGTGTTATGTTGGTTAATTCATCCATAACAAGGCAAACAAAATAGAAGCCCAATGCTAATCCCTGGTTTAGATCTACTGTTATAAGAAACTCCTCTGTATCTCCTACTATTGTTCTCATGCTAGTGACAGCTCCTTCATATATGTCCTTTATGGCATATGTATTTAATATGAATTACTTTCTTCTCCATCACCCATCACAGGACCTTGTTACTCTATCATATACTTTCTCTAGATCAATGAATACCACGTGTAGATCTTTCTTCCTTTCATGATAAATTTTCATCAATAATTGAAAAGAAAAACCTATACTGTCAAAAACTTTCAGAGGTACATAGCTAACTACCAGTAACAGTTTACTTAGAGTTGCAAATTTTAAGTTGAGGGTTAACACACAAACTAATTGTGATCAGAAATAAACTGAACGGATATGTCTTCAGCACTTGAATCAAAAGCAGAGAACATAAGCATCGGGAGTTCATCCGAATTGAGCATCTTAATTTATCAGTTATAGCAAAATAGAGCTTAAGTTGTTAACCTTGTTGCACAGGACAGAGTATATAAAACGACAATTTTCAATATCTAATTATGCTCGTCCAGTATGGCGAGTCTCTTTAGTTTAACCAGCTGTAACATGTAAATTTACTTTCTTTTCTAGTTATTTACACTAACACACTATTTCCAGTAGTTTTTAAGTAACCTAATCGTAATAATTAAACCTGGTAATTAGTCATCGGAATGAGGGTTCACTGAGTGCTTAAAATAGTAACTAACACAAAATTGACAAAATTTTCCGAAGGTAAACGTGAGATGAACGTAAATCTAAGATGTTAATTAGTACCGTCAAGTAAAGTTAAGAACAAGTACCTGAAGGTAGGCTATAACGGTCGAAAAACTTGCGAGGTTTATAATAGCGAGATCGCCAATTATTATGCGTAGAAGAGGAAGAGACGTGCATTGAATATTCGCCAAATTGCTTCCTTTTCTTCAATTGTTCTCCTTCTACTACTTCCATCAACGCCTTTCACGGAGCATATGCCAAAGTCTCCGGCTATGCGCCGCCGTCAAGGACAACTGCAGACCTTACTGGTTTTTGTTGCAAAGGGAGGGAAAGGGATATAAAATTGTCTGCAGGAGAAAAGGCGTTGAATTTGTATTGGGAGTAACTTATGACCTTGGTTTACTGCCCTTTTTTTCCTTTATGTCGAGTCTTATAATTGTAAAACAATATTAATATTTTTTAAAACAAAGCTTTGAGTAACTAATTAAACATGAAAGAATAAAGCAAGTTCATATAAATGATTAATGTGGATCGTTATAAGATAACGTATTTGTCAATGTTAAAATAATTGGATCTTGTTTGAACCTACAAAGATGTATAATTAGTGTATACAGGATAAGTTGAAATAAATTTTTAGTTCTAATTTTATCTTTGGATTTTATAAAGGACTTTGGGTAAGAGCATTGGAAAATGACATATTTGCCATTTTAGTATTTTATCCAAAATTAGTAATTTCATGATTACTATCCTACTCTCAATGTGAGATAGAATAATAGAATAATTGTAGTATCAATTAATCTAGAAATTGCTAATTTTAGATTCAAAAATTGAACTAAACACGAAATAAAATAATCTCGCATCAAATTCAAAAATTATTATCCCTAATTTCATCAACTAAACGATCCCTTAAAGTTTAAATCCAGGGAGAAAGAGATATTTTTTAATACAATATTATTTTTTACTTGGGTCACATATATACTATGCGGTTGTATACAATCAACTATGTTGGTNATATATATATATATATATATATATATATATGATGAATTGTTATCATTCGTATATCACTTTTTGTGTTGGGTTTTATCTTCAACACACTGTTACTATTCAATTTTATCATTTATGTTACTTTTTTGCTGATTGGCCAAAATAGTGCTATTCTTATGTTCACCGCTCTCCATCAGGAAGGTACCATCACTTAGCCAAAAAATGCCATTTAATAAAAAATTTCCAATAAAAAGTTACTAATAATATATAATACTTAGGAAAAAAGTACTTCTTTCAAATAGGCGAGTCAAAATTCATATTTGAAAATATTTCATACATATGTGTACCTGAATTTTCACAAATATACATGGGATATATAAAAAAACACAAGGGACACTCGAGGAATACACATGGGGATACATACTTCTTCCATGGTCCTCATTTACTTTGAATTTGACTCAAACTTCAATTCAAACTACCATAAATCTCTATCAAATCGTCCCAAAATTAAGATTCAAACTCCTTAAAATATACTTAATGCATGTCAACAATACTCATTCGAAATAAATTACAGTATCGGAAACCCGAATTTTTAAACTCAAGCTTAAGCGAGGTTCAATAATTTTCAATAGTAAAAATAAAAATAACGTGACAACAATATGCTTCGATATTTTTTGTAGACACCACCAAGTATCGAAAGTGGAAGCCATCATGGAATTGTAAATTACAACAACTCTGTTGAGTATTTTTTAAAGGGCATGAATAGAAAATGGAAGATGTACCTTTTAAACTGCATTTCTTCGTCTCATCTATTTATTGCTTATAAATACAAAGACATTATTATAGATTTTTTACTACCAAATTTTCAATAAGTTTCTACATATTTGTAAAATCAAATGGAGTATGCATTGTGTGATTTGCTCCGCCATTTGAGTTCGTCGAAATTATGTAATATGCATTGCCGCTATTACATAATAGTTTTTCATTATATCCTAGAAAGAACTAATCTATATACCTTAGGCAACAGTAATGGGATTAAATTCCTTAAGGACAAATTGTGGTCTCGGAGTATTTTGCATTTTTAGTTTTAACTTTTTATTTTCTAATTTTCCGCTTATGAACATTATTTTATTAACAAACTATTTATTATGTTGGAAAACTTCATTATAAATGTACTGTCACGAGCGGCTTTCTAGCCATGCCCATGACCCCTTGGATGCGCCCCATGGCATCCTAGCGAGCCTCCCAACGACTAGCTACATGGACGGTCATGTGGTCTTGGTTGCGCCAAGTAAAAAGAGCGATTGTGCCTATGTCACCCCATCTATAGCCCTCGCCAATGCCCAGCCGTAGTCAAATGCCAACAATTCCCCTCGGCAAGCTGCACCCTAAAGCGCGCGCGTTGTTAGTGCAATCGACCCATGCCCTGCGGCCAGCGGCACGCGTGCAGACCCTGATGTTAAATACAAGGTTGCTTCCAACGGACCTGTTTTTACCTTGTAGGAATCTAAGTCCTTTTATTGTATATATAGAGTTTCTTTACTTCCTGTATTTCCATTATGATTCTCTAGCTTATTTATATCAAGTCCTGTAACTTTGATTATTCTTTTAAGCATTATTAAGGGTGAACAAGTAGTCAAACTTTCAGTAAGCATACAATTCTCTATATTGGTGTCTCTCCCCCTCGGCAATGTGTTGTCTTTATGTAATAGCTTTCATTAATGCAATCAAGATTTCTTTCATTCTCATTCTCTTTTATGTTCTCTCGATTGCTCTTGACATCAGTTTTCCCGCATGGCATTAACAGTCTCATCTAACGTACAGATGGGACCCCAGTTGGCATATAGTAACCGTACGGATATCGGTTTCTTAGCCTTACGTCGCCCTTCCAAGACATATCAGGAAGGCATCGCATAACAATTGATATCATAGCCTAGGCTCGACATCGGACGAGGGAACACATTGCCATTGCCATCATTTCTGACCATGGTGAATCATGGGGACCGCATTGCAGTCCTTGAATATATGGTTAACGTATTACGACCCATCGCACGTATGGTTCCTGATCTAAGAACCATCATAGTGCAAAAGTTGGACGATTTGGACCGTAGGATGCGACAAGCCGAAGGAGACATTGCAAACATCAGTTGCGACTCTAAAGAAGATTGGCAAACGACAGCCACAGAGGCAGCCAAATTTTTTAGTAAATCCGATGGGCTCTAACATGAGAAGACCGAGGATTTAGCATAAATGGCGCAAGAGGTAGACAAGTTAACTGTCATGTAATAAACCATAGACAATTTGGCTGGTCATCTCAATATTGTCAATGTTGCATTACAAGGCCTACACCGAGGAGGCGGAAACCATATCATGGTGTTGTAAACCTCGCCCTCATGCCACAAAAGCTCAAAATCCCTGAATTGAAGCCCTACAATATGGCTCGGAATGCCAAATAAGTGGAGAACTTCATATTTGACATCGAACAGTACTTCGATGTCGTGGGGCAGCTAGAAGAAGCAAATAAGGTAGCAATTGTTGCCATGTATCTTCAAGGTGACGCTAAACTCTAGTGGCGGGTAAAATACGAAGCCATCATAGATGGTGAAGATACACTCGAGACATGGGGAGACCTGAAGATAGCCATACACTTATAGTTCTTCCCTGAAAATGTTGAGTACAATGCACGAAGAAAGTTCTGGGAGCTCCGCCGGTCTAAGTCAGTCCGAGCTTACATACGCGAATTCTCCGCACTTATGTTGAACACACTGGATATGGCAGACAAAAGACAAACTCTTCACATTCCTGGAAGGTTTGAAACCTTAAGCCCGTATAGAGCTGCAAGACAAAGGGTAGATACTTTACCCAAGGCGATTTAAGCAGCGAAATGCCTTGGGGACTACCAAGTGATAGCTCGGAATTATAAGCCCCAACCATATGTCCGAGGGGGATACAAATGGGGCTGGCCTAGCAATGGTGCCCCTAGCATAAGTGGAGGATATCGAAGTGCAACCAAATCTAAGACTCATTCCTCAAGCAGCAATAGTATTGCTTCTTATAATAATGATCGGGAGAGGAATCCCTCTTCGGGATGTCGTTATTGTGGCAGACCGTATTGGAACAATGAATTCCCAGAGGCACAAATGAATACCCATCAAATATTTGATGATGGGACAAATGACGATGATGACGACAATGACGATGTTGACCAGATAGAATCAATGGGTGCCTTCAATGCACTTGTTTGTTATATTTCTAAGGCCTTAGCGGGAACCAGTGCTGGCATATGTAAAAAGAAGGACACATGACCAACCACCAAGAAAAAGAAAATGAAGTTGGATGAGGAGCCTCCTCTTAACCAAGAGAAGACCCTAATGTTCGTCGAAATGAAAGTTAATGGCAAGCCCATTCGGGCGATAATAGACACAAGCGCTACTCACAATTACCTAGCCTTAGCTCGGGTAGAGAATCTTGTTCTAGTCATAGGAAAGGGTAGAAGTCATGTCAAGGCTATCAACTCACCGCCTCGGCCAGTGTGCGGAATAGAAAAAGGAGTGTCGGTGAAACTGGGTCTATATGAAGGAAAATTTAACTTGAGTGTGGTGATCATATATGACTTTGAACTGATAGTTGGATTGGAATTCATGAGGTAAACCAATACCATTTCTTTACCTTATGCAAACATGATACTGATGATGGGAGCAAACAGGGCCAAGCCCTGCATTATCCCATGCACAACCATAAAGATAGCCGCGGGGAACATCTCGGCCCTACAGTTGAAGAAGGGAGTCAAAAGACATGAACTTACGTTTCTGGCTACCCTATGTATTCAAGATATTGAACGTTTTTTGGGTCCCATTCATGCACCCTTGAAGGAGCAACTAAAGGAGTTTGAAGACATCATACCATGGGATATGCCAAAGCGGCTCCCGCCTATGCGAACTATGGACTGTGAGATTGTGTTGGTGTCGGGTGCGAAGCCACGCGCTCTAGCGCCTTACAAAATGTCACAACTCGAACTCACCGAGCTTCGGAGACAGTTGACGGAAATACTGGACACGAGGATCATTGTGCCCTCCAAGTCCCCTTATAGGTTCCTTGTGTTGTTCCAAAAGAAACATGATGGCGCCCTACGACTTTGTGTGGATTATCAGGCCCTAAACAAGATCATCTTAAAGAACAAGTACCATATCCCGCTAATGGCAGACCTGTTCAATAGATTGGGTGGTGCTACAACGTTCACCAAAATAGAAATGAAGATAAGTTACTAGTAAGTCTGGATTGCTGAGGGAGATGAACACAAGACGACATATGTGACAAGATATGGGTAGTACGACTTCCTGGTCATGCTATTTGACTTGACCAATGCTCCTACCACATTTTGCACTCTGATGTACCAAG